TGTTTCTTTGCTTTTTAGTATTGCTTTTATTTTTTTTTAGTATTGCTTTTAAAAGTGACTTCATATCAATGAAATCATACAGCATGGACACTTTGGTGTTTGGCTTCTTTCTCTCAATATACAGTTTTTGGGATTCATCCATGTTTTTGGATGGATCAGTACTTTTTTTCTCTTGGATTGCTTCTCTGAGAAATTTCTTTATATGGATGCCCACAGTTTGTTTATCCTTTCTCTTATTGATGGTCAGTTTGGACTATTATGAGTAAAACTGCTATGGGCATTTTTGTACAAATGCTTATGTGAACATGTACATTTATTTCTGTTGGATGTATATTTAGGAGTGGGATTGCTGGGTCATAGGTTGTTTTATTAGAAGTTGCTTGGCTACCTCTTGGTAATGGCCCTCCTAAAAGAGGAGATCAATTCCATTTTTAAGGCTCCCAGTCTTTTGTTAGCAGATTTTTCCAAAGCTTATTAGTTAGCTATAGGACTGCATCACTATGTTTTAGAAGAAAACATCATGGTTATTCTGATTCTCTCTGCAGATTTGTGGGTGTGTTCTGTCTGTAGTTTCTTGCTGCTCCCAAGTCCTGGGCTTCTCCCCCTGGTCTTGTCCTCAGGACCTCTTCAGCCGAGTTCTTCAGCCGAGTTCTCTTACCATGCAAGGCCACTAGTGCCCTTGAGTGCTCAAACCAGCAGATCTCTTTATGCTGATTTAAAAAGCAAGAAGATTTGCTTCCTGGCCAGATAAGCTTTTAGTTGTTAAGTGAGACATTTGTAGGTTTATTCCTTTTTTTTTTTTTAAGATTTTATTTATTTATTTAAGAGAGAGAGAGAGCACTTAAGTGGGGGAGGGAGAGAGACAAACAGACTCCATGCTGAGCAGGGAGCCCAAAGCAGGGCTCAATCCCGAGACCCCAAGATCATGACTTGAGCCAAAACCAAGAGTCGGACACTAAGCTAACTGAGCCACCCAGGTGCCCCTGTAGGTTTATTCTTAATTGCCCTTTCTTTTTTAGCTGTTTATTTTAATCAGTGCCATGGAGTACTGGAAGTCCTTCCAGATAATTAAGGCCATAGGCTCAAGTGTGTGTCTGCCTGTTGACGACACCAGCTGGACTTCTGACCTGGTTCTGGTACATGCAGGCCTCCTGTTTGGGCTCTAGAGTCTCGGTCGGTTGTTTCCTTTTAGGTCCTGTTTTGCTGCGTTCCTACTGTCTCTACGTCCTCCTGCTTGCCGTCAACGGAGTGACCGAGTGTTTCACATTTGCTGCCATGAGCAAAGAGGAGGTCGACAGGTAGGTAACCGTAAAATCCCGCCTTTAATCCCAGCCTTCGGCCAAACTGAAGTAACTTGCCAATCTTCTTTCTTTTCCTGCTGAACGCGCATTCCCAGAAAGCCTTTTAGAAGTAGCACTCCCCCACTACTGTGGCACCGTCCCTGGTACTCCGGTGCTTGTCTTCCCCACATCCTGGGGGCAGCAACCACCCTTTGCCTCCCTTTGGAGGAGGTAGAAACCCGGGCCCTGAAGGGCCTTGTTAGTCTAGGTTTGCAGAGACAGGCCCAAGACAAGCTCCCCTCCTCCACCTCCTTGCCCAGCGCCCCAGTGGGTTACCGTGGAACTTTTTCAAGATGCAGAGTCCTACCCCCGAGACTCTGATTCAGAGGCCCCAGAGAGGCTCAGGGGTCTTTGTCACCTCTCCTGAGAGAAAGGCCCAAGTGCACATACACGTTTTGCCACCATTTTTTCCCATCCGTTGACCCCAGATCAGGACCTCTGCCCTGATACCTCAAACGGTGGTTCCTAACACTGGTTATCAGTCACAATCCCCCATGGAGCCTGTTAGATGTGCAGATTCCTGTCTGCCCTTCCTCCACCACTCTCTCCTAGCATACCTACAGACCACAGCCCCCAAGCATGTGTGTGTGTTTTTAAAAGCTCCTCAGTGATTCTGACACGAACTAGTTTAGAGCTTCCAGCCGACACTCGGGGCGTGTCCCAAATGCCAGAAGAAACATGGCAGTATGCTAAGGCACCACTACCAGATGAGGTTGAGGAGAAGGATAAAATGGACGGGGGGAAAGGAGAGGAAGAGAAGGCAAAGACAGTAGAGGGGTGGCTGTAGGTAATGGGGTAAGTGGTCCGTGTTATTGCTTTGATCCCTGACGCCTGGGTCCTTTGGGGGCTTTTGTGTTGTCTCTGAAAGGCCCTGAGTGCCCAGACCAACTGAACTAGCATTTGAGAGGCTTGGGCCAAGGGATCTGTCATCACACAGCCCCAGGAGATTTCTGATGATAGGGCCTTAGGAACCACTGGTCGAGACCAGCTTATAAGTAAAACTACATGGAGCCCTGTGACGCTGTACATATTCAGGTGGGCATGACCGAGCAAAGCTTTCACGAAGCAGGAAGTACCCCCCGTTATGCGCAAGACACACTGATGGTTTTTAATTCTGTTATATTTCATTTTTCAAACTGCCATGTCATGACCCTCTCAGTTGATTTCCCCACCTACTTTTAGCTCACAGCCCGTAATTTTCAAATATTGGTCCAGATAGGGTTTTTACTTCAGATAGTTAAATGTATAGGTGTAAAACTACTTGGAGGCCATCCTCCCTACCCCTTATCTTTTTCATGGATGCAAAGGTTGAATTTAAGTTTGATTTTGAGATAATGTGTTTTTTTTTGAAAGGTGCTTCAAACATGAAATAATTTTTAGATATAATGTAAAACATATTAAAGGAGGCACTGAGCTGTGGTGGAAAGAGCTCTGGACTAGGAATCTATTGAAGGGAATTTTGTTGTAATCATTTCAGCATTAGTGTGGAGGGGGAGAATCAGCATTAAGCCTGCTTAAAAATGTTAAAATGGATCTTACAATCAAATCATGAGGGAACACAGTGACTAGTTGCTTTCTTTCCTTTTACATAGCATTGAACGAAAAGAAACAACTTTTTAAGTTAGTTGTAATGGGATTTTGACGGTATATAAACATCTGGAAAATTATTTTCATGGTATGAGTAGTCAACATAGAGAAAAGACAGAACCAGAGCGCCTTCTAACGCAGTTCTTATCTGCAGTAACGCACTTCCCCGAAGAGTTAAATGTGACTTTAAGCATGGTCTTCCTACATGTATTAGCCATAGCAGCCCAGGTTCCGCCCTGGTCTGAGCACATGGCCCCTGGGCTCATCACAGACTCCAGCAGTTTCTCATCTCTGTGAATTTAACCAGACATAAAACTCTAGTAAGGATTTTTATGGTAGGATTGGGTAGCTTTGTTAAATGTCATGATTGATTTACATTGGACATTTCAGATTCTGAATTGAAAAAAAATACCGTATTGATAAAATCTTAACTTGATAAAATTGATAAAATCTACTTAACTTCAGGTCAATCAGTGTTTCTCTAAATAAAAATAGGGCATTTGGTTGGATGTGAAATATTAGAATATCCTTTGGGACGCCTGGGTGGCTCAGTCAGTTAAGTGTCTGCTTTCAGCTTGGGTCATGATCCCAGGGTCCTGGGATCGAGCCCCATATTGGGCTCTCTGCTCAGCAGGGGGCCTTCTTCTCCCTCTCCCTCTGCCTGCTGCTCCCCCTGCTTGTGCTCTCTCTCTCTCTCTCTGTCAAATAAATAAATAAAATCTTAAAAAAAAATAGAACATCCTTTGAATTCCAAGTTGCTTTTTTGTTAATAACTGCATAATATATATTGAATATGATTGATGGATTTTTCAATCTGCCCTATTGAAGAATTTTTGTTCTGTTTTGTTAAGGATATCTCAGTTTCTTTTGTTCATTTGACAAGTGCTTTTTGAGCCTCTACTCTCCCAGGCATCATTTTAAGTTCCAGGAATATAGCAGTAAAAAGAGATGAGATCCCTGCTTTCCTAGAGCTGACGGTGGGGGAGGCAGATGGCAAACAAGTAAATAAATAGGGAAATATTGCGCAGTACGGATAACTAAAACAGGGTAATGCCGTGAGAGTGGGGCTCTTTTAGATTGGGAGGCCCCTCTGAGAAGGTGGCATTTAGGCTGAGGCTGGATGACCAAGCAGAGTCTGTCTGGCACAGAGGTCAGTGACGCAAAAGCCTAAGACCGTCTGATTCATTGGCCCATGAATGTCCATCTTGGAGCTGGACTCCGTAACTGTCGAGTGAAGGATGAGTGCGGTCTCCCCACATTGGTGATGAGAGACTGGCGCCATCCCTTCCGTGGCTGCCAAGGCTACACTGATGGCCGTGCCTTGCTGTATTCAACCAGCACCCACTGGGGGGCACTTCAGTTGCTGCCACAGTCAACATCCTTGACCGTCCATCTTTTGATAAGCCTAATTTTAAGCCCAGTATCTTCTTGGGGCCATGGAAAAACTAAGCATTCATAAATAACTGTTTATGTTAACCAAGCCTTATAGAATAGTCATTATTGTCACTAATTTTGCATTGATTTTAAAAGTGGCTTTTTTTTTTTTTTTTTTTAGTATAATGAGATACACAAAATATATATGGCTTAGGATCTCTTTCTGAGTGGAAATAATTTAGGTCTCAAGATGTTTTGAGCCTGCTATGTTTTCTGGAAATCATTTAACTGAGCTTAAGACCCCTGAAAAAAAAAATACAAAAACTGGTTCAAGGAAACCAGCAATTAGATTTTGAAATCAAACTGTGGGTTAAGTCAGTAAAGTTAGAATTGGGGCAGTTCCTCTTTTGTGTTGCCCACGCTCAAATTCGCCCTGGGAAGCAGAAACCTCGTCTACTGGAAGACAGGATGGAAACACAGTGTGGTGCTCTGCTTGACATCAAAGTGGGCACCATTGATGGGCTGGCAAGTTTATGGTGCAATGGTAAGGATTTTGAGGGGTTTGAACAGCAATGAGAAAAGTGTTGACAACACATAAGGTTAGATCAGAAACTATAAACTGGTATTGACACCAACTACATGATTTTTCTCAGTAGCCTGTAGGAATGGATAAGATGAGTTCACCCAAGATGACTTAAGACTTGGAATGAGCAGTGGTGTACTTTTAAATAAAGCCAACCATATTTTTTCCCCTAAGGTGGCTAGTGGTTTCATAATGATCATGGACACCACAGATAAAGCATTTAAAATTCTGATCAAAGCCAACTTTAATTTTTTATCCTTACACTTAAAAGGTTATCTGATGGCCACCGGTTTCTCAATCCTAACATTAGTTACTAGCTTACGAGGTAAATTCTTCTCCTTTACCTAATGTTCAGTTTCCATCAGTTTTAACATACACCAGTATAAATACCATTACAGACTACTTTGTATGAAATTCAGTATTCTACAGATCCCATGAAGTTGTGGGATAGAACCAGGAACCTCCATCTTTTATGCAAACTTCAGTGTACTGTGGAGACAAGGCAATTTTGCTTAGCTTTATTTATTTATTTTCATTTGTAAGAGAACCCTCTTGCAACAGGTTTATTCAATTTAAAAAGTGGTATTTTAATTGCGTCTTTAAATTTCTTTTTTTTCCTGAAGTGGATTTGCTTTTAAGGCTCTAGATTTGTGAGTTCTGGAAAGTTCAAGAGCTGCAGAGCCCTATTCTAGTGAAAAACGGTGGTCCCCTATCATTATCAGCTCTTCCCAGATGGCCACACCAAAGAAGCCACACTGTTGAATTAGCATGAATTAGCTACTGATTTCATTTGTTATTGATGTTTTACTTGGAGTTGGGTGAGGATGACTTTGAAAGTTTGTGAACCTATAACCTCAATTCCAAGGATTTGAGAGAGTTTCTGGGGGGAAAAACGATCATACATCTCTACTTCTTTTTGGAAAAGAGGTCAGATAACTAACTGGTCTGTGATGGTCCCCACCCTCAGTGGCTGGTTGTGAAGTTGGCTCTTCTGATCATTGGTCAGTAGTTAGTGAAAAGCACACCTCCCCTGTTGGAGGATAGTGTGTGCGTGTGTAGTATTATTATTATCACCCCCTCTGATAAAGTTTATCTCCAAGGCACCTTGGGCTTGGTCAGCCCAAGGACCAGTTCCTGGGCATTCAGCAGACACATGGCTTTCCTACCACCCCTCGTTTGCAGAACCTGAGTGGCCTCCCTAACCCAGCAGACAGGGCTGGGGGACCTAACCGTTTGGTTCCCTCAACAACTATGTACTTAGAATGCCTGCTGCTCACTAGGCAGAAACCAGATGCTGGAAAATTTTGTTCGTGGCTGTACCACAAGCCTTTTGGTGAGGACTATAGCAGCTGTTTTGTCTTTGCTGAGACTCAGTTTCCCTTGCTGAGAACTGAAGGTAACTAAGCTGACTAAGTGGAAGGGCAGCGTAATCCATGCAGTGAGGAATCCAGAGGGCTCTGGGGACGTGGAGAGCAGAGGGAAGGATGTGTAAGAGTCTGGGGGACACTGACGTGGTTCAGGGCTTGCTCCCCATGTGCATGTGATTTTGAAGGCTCGTTACTTTAAGTGAAATCCACTGGCCAAGGTTATGGGGCTTCTGCATTTCCCTAAGTTTAGGGACCAGAGTGAGGTCACTCCTTAGGCAAATTACTCAGCCGACCTGTGCCTGGTTTTCCTTGTCTGTAAAACACATCCAGACCTCACAGGGCAAGGGCCACGTGTGTTCACTCATCATCGTATGCCTGTGACCCTGACCATGGCTGTCGCATAGTTTGCATTCACATATAATTATTACCCGTGTCATATTGCTGTGCCTCACATTGAAGACTTGGGCTGAACAGGATTTTTATGTGTTTGGATCACAAAGTGTCACTTAAACTAACCAGTTATGCTTAAAAACCATAATATTTTGAGTTCATTTCCTTACTCTTCTGTTCAGGGGGGAAGGGGGATGGTGACATTCCCATGTCATCCATATGGAGTTCACAGCTAAGAAAACCAGCTGGGTTATGGCAACTCAGAGGTGCTTTCTGTGATTCCATGTTCACGGTCACTTGTTTTGGAGCAGGCTTGTTTGGGACAAGGTACCCACTCCCCTGCTTTGCTTGTCTCCCTCTCCCCAGGTACAATTTCACAATGCTGGCCCTCTCGTCTTCATTCCTCGTGTTATCCTACCTCCTGACTCGATGGTGCGGCAGCGTGGGCTTCATCTTGGCCAACTGCTTTAACATGGGCATTCGCATCACACAGAGCCTTTGCTTCATCCACCGCTACTATGAAAGGAGCCCGCACAGGCCCCTGGTGGGCCTGTACCTATCACCCGCCCTCCTCGGGGCATTCGCCCTCAGTGGTGGGATTACTGGTGTTTCCGAGGTGAGAATCCCCGCAGCCCTCACACCACATGCTTTTGCAGGCTGTCCACTGTCCCTGGCTCTGGGCTTCCCTTCCTGCTCTTCCTGAACCAGCTGGGCAAGTGTCTGCCTCCCCTTCCCCCTTCCGCAAGGCTCGAGGACAGCGTGTGATGATAGGTGTGGCCAAACAGTGTCACCAGTGGGAACAGAGTTAGCCCCTCAGTACGTAGCTGTCACACCTTTTATCTGACTCCAAGCTGGCACAGCATGGCCTCGCTCCCCCTGGCTTGCCCCCGAGGTAGGAGGTACAGGTGGAGGGGCCAGGGCAGTGACGGTGGGTTCTCTCGCAGGTGTTCCTCTGCTGTGAGCAGGGCTGGCCAGCCAGGCTGGCGCACGTCGCCGTGGGGGCCTTCTGTTTGGGAATGACTCTTGGGACAGCGTTCCTCACGGAGACCAAGCTGATCCGTTTTGTGAGGACTCAGTTAGGTGTGTCCAGACTGGCTGACAAAACCTCGTGACCTCAGAGGCATTGGCACCTGTGGCACGTGGACCAGCTGTGGGGCGGGTTTGTGGGCGGATCTCATGAGCTGTGCAGGAGAGCCCTGCTGATGGGTCTGCAGCGGGGGAGGACCGACGCCGGCAGGCGAGACGTCGGAGAGAACCGCCAGCCCAAACACCATCCCTTTGAAGCCTCAAACAAACAGGAAGGAGGAGTTCCACTTTTAAGGGAAGACCAAAAGCTCTTTTAAAATAGATACCTTATTTTTGTCACCATTTTGTTCTCACCAACATTTTTCTTTTTGGTTAATGTGTTCCTTTTGGGCGTGATTGACCTAAGGAGCTCCGTAAGCCAACCAACTATATCTTGGATGAAATAGTTAACAATGATCTGGCCCAGAGAGATGTAGCCATATTACATGTCGCAGGAACATGTCACTTACTCTGTAAAAGCAGGAAGGAGACCTGATGTTGTGCACCGGATGAGACCAGAGGTGGCCCAGGAGTTGTGGCTTCTCCCATGCAAACACTGTGGTTGGGGTTTTTAGAGAGGGAACGACATTTCTCAGTGAGAAGTCCAGGAAATGGAAATGCGGAGTCTTGTGGGTCACATTTCCCAGAGTTAGCTGGGGGGAGTCACGCCCCTCATCGTCATTGCTGCATGCCCCGGACCACCTTCCCAGCGCCAATGCAGGCTGGTGTGAGACCGCTGGCCCAGCCACCTGAACGAGAAGGCTCTGAAGGAAGCAGCGATCCAGTGTGAGCTACCTTGGCCCCCGAAGGGAATGCTGCTCATGTGAAGATTGCACAGATGGCAGCCCACGGTGAAGTGATGTACGATTTCCCTTCAGAATAAAATGGGGTATGTGCTTAAGGCAAGCCCTTCCCACCGACCCGTTGCTTCCAGCGCTGGTCAGTAACCCCGAATGCCAGCTTCAGGACCAGCGTGGCAAGCCTGGGAGTCTGGCTGCTCCAGGTCGTGGCCCAGCTCTCTACACCCAGCAGGCAACGTCACTGGGTATTGTTCTGAGGTGACAAAGCATTTTTCTTCTTTCGATAATATATTAATTCCTTTTGGGTGTGATTGACCTTCAGAGCTACCTGCGCAAACTGTATCTTGGATGATAACAGTGATCATCTGGCCCTGATGTCCCAAGCTTTCTGTTTACACCCAGAGAGCAGGGCACCTTGGATCAGATGGTGGTTTGCCTAAAATGCACACATGTAAATCCACTGGCTGGGAGCCAGAGCCGAAGGCAAGGATCAAGACCCACCAGTGCACTGAGACTAGCACCCAGGCACTTGGGCCTTTTATCTATTCAAAGGGAGAATGCATCCCACTAATTGGAAAAGTAACTAAATGTAAGATCTCACTTGTCAGTCAGAGACCCTCCAAAAGCATGGCTGTGGTTATGCGCTTATGAGGCACGATCAGGCTGTCTCAGAAGAACCGATTGTCCCATGGTGGGGAGCCGGGGGGAGGGAGTACAGCACACAGAGGCAGCCTTCCCTCCCTCTCATGCACTTTTGTCTCTTGAGTGCACAGAAATGGGCCTTTAGCCCTCACAAGTTCCTTCTCTGCTGCCCTTGACCACCACTCCTTCCCCTAGAGCCCTGTTACCCACCCCATGCCCACCTGACCCCAGACACCAAGCATGGCCTTTAAACTACCTGCCTCGGAATTGCCTGGTTGCAAGTCAGAAATGTGGGTTCCCAGGACCCACTCCAGACCTTTGGGACCATGTCTGCGGGCAGGGCTCTGGGATCAGCTTTTTTGGCGAACCAAGGTTGGCATACCCCATCGCCCTCACCTGCGTCCGGGCCCGAGACCAGCGGCTCACAATGTCCGTTCTCTGCTCCAGGAAGAGTCCCTGTTGCCCGAACCTTGCCAGCCCCCCAGCTCTCGGGAGTAGGCCCACCCCGGTTCCTGCTCTGCTCTCCAGCGTGGAGGGTAGCTGGGCCTGACAGCCCCTGCCCCGTGTCTCCTCGTCCCGTGCCGTCCCGCTGGCGCCGCTGCCAGCCCAGGGCCGCTCCTCTCGAAAGGTGGCCAGCTAGGCCGGCAGCCCGGGGCTCCTTCCCACCACCTGCTTCCCTGTCTGTAGGAAAAGTCTCTGCGAACGCCTGTTTACTTACCACTAGCGCCTGCCCCCTGGGCTGTCGGGCGGAGGCAGCCGGCTCTTTGCACTTCACCGACCTCTGCCTCCACCCCCTGGCCGCCTCCTGGAAGTGCAGGTGGGCCTGACCGCTGCCTCTGGAGCTTTCCCTTGCTGGCTCCTTAGGTGAGGGCTCAGATATTGGGCCAGTAGGGCAAGTGTGTTATTTTAGTGTGATTTGGGCGAGTCCAGGGTACGCTCTCACCTTTATCAGGTGCTGGACCCTGTATTTACTTTGGACATTGGACTTGTGAGCCGATCAGATGCTGTTGTTCTGTTCTGCCTGTGCTTGCTGTACCTGGGCGAGGGAGCTTTTAATGTCAGTGTTTCATTTGCTAATTAACTTTCAAAGGTAGGGAGAAAAAGATGCTTTGGGGGAAGAATTTGAGGGGAAGGAAGACTTCTATTGATTTGCGTCATCTGTCTGACCCCAATTACCATGGCATTATCAGTCCTGCTATTTAATGTCAATTCCTTTTTAACCAGAATTATCTGGGTCCATCACAGCAAAATTGGAAAACTGGGCTCCTGGTGTCGTTCGGCCTCCTTTAGGGGCCTAAGGAAGAAGGCTTCTAAATACTTCTTAATTAACAGAAGTTGCTGGGTGCCCCTGTCCCAAAGTGCAGTCGGTTCTTTGCCCAGCAACTCCTCCATCATCCCTGGGCAGTGTGGCTTAGGCGGAAGGGGCTGGAGGTGAGATGTAGGGAGTTCGGTCTTTCCCCTCCTGACTAGGTCCTCACCAGAGTCAGTGCACCCAGAACTCTGCACCAGCCTCTGCAGGCTCCAGCAGCCTCATGGAGAAGCTCCCCACAGCTTGTCACAGCTGGTGCTGTGCACTGTGCGCCCCGCCGCCCCCCGCCATCGAACGTAACGATCGTACGCGTGCACAAAGTTGTGGTGGGCGATTTGGCATGCTGTTCTGTTGCCGGGTCAGGTTCCTCAGGAGTTGAGGGCCCCTGGACACTGCACCCATGAGGCCCAATGAACTTGGGGCCCTGGGAGCTGGAGAAGGAGGGAGGGGTGCCTGTGAAGCCGCCTGACTGGGAGGCTGGAGGCCTGGCACGGGCACCAGGGCAGCTCCCGGCCTTCTCTGCTCTTTGCGGCCTCATGCTGGGGTGATCTCGCCTCTCCTGGGGCCCAGCAGCTGGGGTGGGGGGGGTCAGGCTGGTGGGCAGTGCAAGGAGGAGTCCTCAGAACCGGGTGCGGCCTCAGGGCAGAGGCCTGGGCTTTGCCACTGATGAGACCTTCTCTTTCACCTCTTCTTTTGTCTCCAGCCCCCAGTCCTCTCAGCTTTAACTTCTGTTCCCAACGCAAAGCCCCTGCAGGAGAAAGGGAGCTGGCCCACATTATCCGTAATGGGCAGAGGCTGTGGGTCAAAGTCATAAGTGAGCCAGCGGCTAGGCCGCCCTGGGGCAGCCGAGCCCCGGTTCAGTCAGCTCTCGCTGGGTAGGCGCCGGGCAGGGTGGCACGCGCCATCCAGGTTTGCCCCTCCACCTCAGGAGCTGCATGAGGGCCCACGACAGAACAGCTGACTTGTGAAGGGACCTTCTAAAGCACCATTGGTTTGTCTCATTTCCTCCCTCCAATAGATGTGTCCCAAAGTTATGACCCTGTTGACCCCACTGTGTCAGTGTTGCCCTGGCCTGACAAATGCATTTGGCCGAGGCCACCTGGTTCACAGTGCTTGGTGGGAAAGGAGCCGGGAAAACTGGGGGGTCTCGGTCCTTGCCTCTCATCTGTACCATGTGGCACAAACCGGGGCCTCGAGGCAGGGCTCTGAGGCCATCAGAGGAGGCAGTGAGCAGGGACACGACTGCTGAGCAGCGTGTTTCTGGTTTGTGTCTGAGAGACCCTGACACCCTTTCCAGGGATGTGTGGCTTCCCCAGGCCACGTGTGTCAGGGGAGAAGGCGGTCTGGGATGAAAGCATGACTCACTGAGGGCAGCACCGGGTTTGTTCCCGGCTCACCTACCCCTCACTCACTTCTTTGCACCTGCTTTTGAAAATCACAAAAGGCGACACGAGAGAGAATGGCCTACGGGGGACCAGAGGGCCTCTCCCAGATGGCCTTTTCACTTCCACCCCGTGGCCAGGCGGATTATGGGACAACTCGGGTGACGCAGACGCCTCCATCCTTCCCGGAGGTGTGCGGACGCCCCGCCCCCCGCCCAGCCCTGCACTGGTTAACTCGTCTCCCCAGTCTTGGAGCATGCTCTTGTCCAGCCCTCCTCAGGGCCTGGCCTGGCTGTGCAGGGGGGACGATGAAAACACAGGAAAAGGAAACCTCTGTAGCCATGACAAAAATGGGAATGTTTTCCTCCACACATAATCTCAACCAGACTAGGGAATGTTGTGAAAATAGCTTTCTGTTTCCCCTAGGGCATTCACAATTTTATGAACAAACCAGATGAGCAGAGTGCATTTTAATGTTCCTGAACCAGAGTCCAAGATTCCTTTCTTCCTCATGTAGCTCATGAGATCCCTGAGTGGCATCTCTCGGGTGACAAGAGGATGTCTTGCAGGTGTGCAGATGTCAGGCTGTGGGGGGCAATAGAAGGGACAGAGCTCCTTGCCATTTTTTCTTTTGTATCCTTGAGTGAAATCATGTGGCGCTCCAGCTCCCCAGCGGGGTGATGGCATGACGCCCAAGCACTCTGGCGACTTGTCGTCGCCCCCTCTCAGCTCTCCTGCAGCAAACCTGCAAGCACAGGGCTGAGAGCCAGGCTCCGGGTGGCAGGCCCCCAGAGGTGTTCTGCCTGTCGTGTGTCTTCCCTCTGCACGGTCACTGAGGAAACCCACTGGCGTCCCCCTCTGCCTTTGGAAGTATGGTTGAGCAGGGTTGGGTGCTCTAAACGGCATGTGGCAATGTGCACGTGCCGTCGTTCTACCGCACAGCCTGGCTGCCCTTGCCTAACTCACTGGGCGACCTTGAACAAGCCCCTCTCGCTCCGCCAATTATGGAGCACTGACCATGTGCCAGGCACTGGATGACCACATGCCTGAGCGGTGTCAGGGGCTAGATCTCCGCACCAGTGCTATCTGTTGTCTGCGTGTTACAGGTGAGGAAGCCAAGACACAGAGAACTCGCTTCATTTGCCCTGGGCCACCCAGCCAGGAAGAAGGTGGCAGAACTGGGGGTCTGCCCGTTACCTTGGCAATCGGATCCTCCCTGATCCTAGGGCCCCATGCGATCTGTGGTGGTAACGCCTGAGCCTGAGTGGGGGCAGGCACTGTCCTGCTCCTGCTCCTCCTGCTTTGCTCCTCCTCCTCCTGCTCCTGCTGCTCCAGCTCCTGCTGCTGCTCCTGCCGCTGCTCCTGCTCCTCCTGCTCTGCTCCTCCTCCTCCTGCTCCTGCTGCTGCTCCTGCTCCTCCTGCTCTGCTCCTCCTCCTCCTGCTCCTGCTGCTGCTCCTGCTCCTCCTCCTGCTCCTCCTGCTCTGCTCCTCCTCCTCCTCCTGCTCCTGCTGCTCCTCCTGCTCCTCCTGTTCTGCTCCTCCTGCTCTGCTCCTCCTGCTCCTCCTGCTGCTGCTCCTCCTCCTCCTGCTCCTGCTGCTCCTGTTCCTCCTCCTGCTCCTCCTGCTCTGCTCCTCCTCCTCCTGCTCCTGCTCCTCCTGCTGCTCCTCCTGCTCTGCTCCTCCTGCTCTGCTCCTCCTGCTTCTGCTCCTGCTCCTCCTGCTCCTGCTGCTCCTCCTCCTGCTGCTGCTGCTCCTCCTGCTCTGCTCCTCCTGCTCTGCTCCTCCTCCTCCTCCTGCTCCTGCTGCTCCTGGTGCTCCTCCTGCTCCTCCTGCTCCTCCTGTTCTGCTCCTCCTGCTCCTGCTGCTGCTGCTCCTCCTGCTCCTCCTCCTCCCGCTCCTCCTCCTGCTCCTCCTGCTCTGCTCCTCCTGCTCCTGCTGCTCCTCCTGCTCTGCTCCTCCTGCTCTGCTCCTCCTGCTCCTCCTCTTCC